AAAAATATAAATTTTTCGCTATCTGATAATTAAAGGTTAAAATGTTCATTAAAATGTTTAGCTTAATGTATCATAATTTGTCTTAAATCTACATATAATGGGCATTTTAAAATTACATGAAGTTCATCTTCAATAGTAGAGCTACAACACATGTCATCTCGTGGACTACTTTTCTTTCATACTTTCCAGTTTCTATTTTTAGTGGAGCTACCCCACATCTAAATTTTGCAAAAGCACTGTTGTTTTTAATTGGCGGAATATTTTTTAACAAATAACAGTTGGCCAACAGTATATTTTTAAGCCCATTTCGCTCAGTTGAATAGAAATTCCAATTTTAACTGTTCTGTCGTAGAAATGTCATCATGTTATTGTTTGTACGTAGAACATGTATCATTATATTAAAGTGTGTCAGTCCCAGACGAGATTCACTGAATAACCACGAAATGTTTACAGATGATAAATAAATTTTACACAAAAATTCATGAATCTGTATGAACTTTATGTACGATGAAGTTAATTAAGTGTTCACAAGAAAGTAAGTATGAATGTAAATTTTATTTAAAGTCGGAACATATATATACACTTGAACCGTGAGATAAAATATAAGCTTTGATGAGCTCTATAACCGACTATAAAAACCGCAATGAATGAACATGACCTGATTAGAGATGAACGTTTGACAAATGCACCTTATCTGATGTACACAGTAATACACGATTGACATACGCACGATACACGGTTAAGAATGAATGATTGATGAACGCAAGATACACGGTTAAGAATGAATCATATTGATGAAAGCACGATACACGCACCATACATGGAACGATGAATGATGAGCGCACAATTGGTACTTGCACGATACACGCAGGATACACGATGAATGCACGGAATAATGGTCAGTTTGAATTTTAGAAGGTCTGTAATAATGCCTTAATAAGTTCTTGGTAGAAATAAACCATGTTAGAAAATATTTTAATATTTTTTACTCAGCCATGGAAAATTGAACCCCCCCAAATTGACCTCAGATTTTCAAATTTTCATAGCTATTCCGGCTATGTTATATAGTAATAATGCATAGCTAAGTACTTATTAGAAAAATATAACATGTTAGAAAATATTTGAGAAAGATTAACTCAGCCATGAAAAAAAAATTTGAACCCTCCTCTACCATGGAAAACTGACCCCTTCTTTAAAGATCTCAGATATCAAATTGTCATACCTATTCAACTACTTTATATAGTAATAATGCTTTAATAAGTATTTGGTAGGAATAAAACATGTTAGAAAATATTTTAAAATTTGTATGCACCAGCTGTCACCAGAGGTGGCATTAAGTGTTAATCGTGTCCATCTGTTTGTACGTACGTACGTCCCAACATTGGTTTCCATTCTCTGACTTTTGTTTGCCTCAACCAAATATTATGAAACTTATACATAATACTTATTACCACAAAATACAGATCAAGTAAAAATTTGGGTGGCATCACTTTTACCTTTCTCAAGTTATGTCCCTTTATAATGTTATATGCAAGCAGGGGCATCATCTGAGTGTGTCCCAATTTATTTTACTCAGCAATGGAAAATTGACCCCTCTCTCAGATTTTCACATTACAGTAGCTAATGCTAGCTATGTTATATAGTAATAATGCATTAATAAGTACTTGGTAGGGATAAAACATGTTAAAAAATATTTTTACGCCCCACCTAGGGGCATTATGTTTTTCGTCTGTGTGTCCGTTCATTCGTTTGTCCGTCCGTCTGTTCCTCTGTCTGTCCCGCTTCAGGTTAAAGTTTTTGGTCAAGGTAGTTTTTGATGAAGTTAAAGTCCAATCAACTTGAAACTTAGTACACATGTTCCCTATGATATGGTTTTTCTAATTTTAATGCCAAATTAGAGTTTTGACCCCAATTTCACGGTCCACTGAACATAGAAAATGATACTGTTCCGCTTCAGGTTGAAGTTTTTGGTCAAGGTAGTTTTTGATGAAGTTGAAGTCCAATCAACTTGAAACTTAGTGCACATGTTCCTTATGATATGATCTTTCTAATTTTAATGCCAAATTAAAGTTTTGACCCCAATTTCACAGTCCTCTGAATATAGAAAATGATAGTGTGAGTGGGGCATCCGTGTACTGTGGACACATTCTTGTTTATAAATTTTACTCAGTCATGAAAAATTGAACCCTCTCCCATAGAAAATTGAACTCTCCTTGAAGACATTTTTGTTTAATAAACTGAATGTGATTAATTCTCTGTGAAATACTGGTTGTTTCAAGCATGACTGTCAAGATTTGGCATAATCAGTTCAATTGTTTGAGAGAAATTTAATATAATGTAAGACGACATCTACAGCGATTTGAGCAAAATTTCTTTGAAAAATCCAAATCACACCACATCATGATAGAATATAGTGTGGATCAATAAATTCACCAATATATTATATATGATACAAAAGATGACTCTTAAGATGATAAAAACCACTAATGTACCTTTTTGTCTTTATTATAAGGCCCCTTATGGTCCATTTAACCTCTCATTCCCTTAAAATTTTAACATTTTTCGTCTAATAAACAAAATTTTGGGGTAACATTCACATATTTATGTAAGGAATGTGAACAAATGAGTAATTGAACTGTTCAAACTGAATGAGCTATCCATATAAAAGTTAACTGACTCCATGGAGGTTTCAATAAGTCCTTACATGAAACTTAATTTTAAGACGCGTTCCAGAGAGGGACATAAAATTGTTCCCTTTGTGTGAATGATTTGTTGTTACTGCTTCAAAAAATATTTCATTTACTTATTACTGTATATTTCTTAAAGAATTATTTGGAAACAGTTTTCTTGCATAGCCCAACATAAGAAATAAGGAGAAAAAGTCAGAAAAAACTTCCCAAAACACTGAGTATGGCTTGCTCTGCCTACTCATATTCATGGTATAACCCTATTTCAAGGCAATTTTCCCTAAATGTGTTTTTGAGACTAAATCCACTTAGGCAGTTTGCTATATTTGAGTGAAATAGCATGAAATTTTAGAAAAAATGAGAGTACATACAAGGCCAAAGGTGCATATGCAGCTTCCCATTTAGGAGTAATACCAACATTGATTTTCCCCTATTAGTCTGTTAAATTGGCACTTTTTAAAAAAATTGTGAAGAAGTTATCTTTGTTTCAAATAAAGAAATACTTAGCATGAGTCAAGTTTGGTCCTGTCCAGTACTACAGTGAAAATTTCACTGTCACATAACATTTGATTTCATTGCATATAAGATAATAACCATCAGCAGAAGTAAACCAATCAAATTTTCACCCCTTTTTATACGACCGCAAAAAAATTTTTGTGGTCGTATATTGGTATGACGTTGGCGTCGTCGTTGTCTGGCGTCGTCCGAAGACACATTGGTTTTCGCACTCTAACTTTAGTGAATGGATCTCTATGAAATTTTACCACAAGGTTCAATACCACAAAAGGAAGGTTGGGATTGATTTTGGGGGTTATGGTACCAACAGTAAAGGAATTAGGGGCCAAAAAGGGGCCAAAAATAAGCATTTTTGTAACTTCCAGACATAACTTGTGTGTTAGTGTATGGATCTCTCTGACATTGTACCACAAGGTTCCACATCACAAAAGGAATGCTGGGATTGATTTTGGGGGTAATTGCCTCAAAATTTTAGGAATTAGGGGCCAAAAAAGGGGCAAAAAACAAGCATTTTTCTAGTTTCATGACAATAACTTGTGTGTAAGTGTATGGATCTTTCTGAAATTGTACTACAAGGTTCCATATCACAAAGGGAAAGCTGGAATTGAGTTAGGGGGTAATTGCCGAAATGAATAGGAATTGGGGGCCAAAAAGGGGCAAAAAATAAGCATTTTTCTAGTTTCCAGACAATAACTTGTGTTCAAGTGTATGGATATCTCTGAAATTGTACTGCAAGGTACCATACCACAAAGGGAAGGCTGGGATTGATGATGGGGGTAATTGCCTCAATATTTTAGGAATTAGGGGCCAAAAAGGGGCAAAAAACAAGCATTTTTCTAGTTTCAGGACAATAACTTGTGTGTAAGTGTATGGATCTTTATGAAATTGTACTACAAGGTTCCATATCACAAAGGGAAAGGTGGGTTTGAGTTTGGGGGTAATTGCCCTAAACGTTTAGGAATTTGGGGCCAAAAAGGGGCCAAAAAACAAGCATTTTTCTAGTTTCAAGACAATAACTTGTGTTCAAGTGTATGGATCTCTCTGAAATTGTACTGCAAGGTACCATACCACAAAGGGAAGGCTGGGATTGAGTTTGGGTGTGATGAATCATAAGGGGGTTCAAAAAATTTGGAGGGGGGGGGGGGATTTCCTTTTTTTTCTTTTTTTCCTTTTTTTTTTCTTTTAAAATTTTCCATTTTAAGTTGGTTATTTCTGATTTATATTTAAAAGCAAATAATAATGATATGGTAGGAGATACACACCAAACAGGATGTGTAAATTATTATATAATAAGTATTGTGCAATAGAAAGAAATTTTCAATTGCACAGTATTGCACAATAGCAAGAAATCTTCAATTGCACAGTATTGCGCAATATCAAGAAATCTTCAATTGCACAGTATTGCGCAATAGCAAGAAATATCCAATAGCACAATATTGAGCAATAGCAAGAAATTGTCAATTGTACAGTATTGCGCAATAGCAAGAAATATTTAATTGCACAGTATTGTGCAAAAGAAGATACTTCATATAAATTGCTTATTTCTTGACCAATTTCAATGGGGTTTTATTCTTGAACTCTTGGGGTTCTTTAATATGCTGAATCTAACCGTGTATTTAGTTTTTGGATTTGGGCCCCGTTTTTAAATTGGTCCACATTGAGGTCCAAAGGGTCCAAAATTAAACTTTGTTTGATTTCATCAAAAATTGAATTATTGGGGTTCTTTGATATGCCGAATCTAACTGTGTATTTAGATTCTTAATTTTTGGTTCCGTTTTCAAATTGGTCTACATTAAGGTCCAAAGGGTCCAAAATTAAACTTAGTTTGATTTTAACAAAAATTGAATTCTTAGGGTTCTTTGATATGCCGAATCTAAACATGTATTTAGATTTTTGATTATGGGCCCAGTTTTCAAGTTGGTCCAAATCGGGGGTCCAAAATTAAACTTTGTTTGATTTCAACAAAAATTGAATATATGGGGTTCTTTGATATGCTGAATCTAACCATGTATTTAGATTATTCATTTTTGGGCCCCATTATCAACTTTGTCCACATTGAGGTCGAAAGGGTCCAAAATTAAACTTTGTTTGATTTCATCAAAAATTGAATTCTTGGGGTTCTTTGATATGCTGAATCTAACCATGTATTTAGATTTTGGATATTGGACCATAATAGGTGAATGTCCAATTTAAATTTTTTAAGTTCTTAGACCACATTCATTCTGTGTCAGAAACCTATGCTGTGTCAAATATTTAATCACAATCCAAATGCAAAGCTGTATCAAGCTTGAATGTTGTGTCCATACTTGCCCCAACTGTTCAGGGTTCGACCTCTGCGGTCGTATCAAGCTGCGCCCTGCGGAGCATTTTATTTCCTGTTGACAAGCTTTAGTAACCATGTCACCTGAAGTTTCAAAAATATTTTATAGAAACAGCAAATAAAAAAAGAATGGTGCCTAAATTTGAAACACTCAAGATCAGATGTACTATGATTTGGTGGTGTTACACCTTTATAGACCACAGATTTTCAAATTGTCATAGCTATTCAAATTACTTACTCTATCTATATAGTTATAATGCTGAACCTAATGTACATTTGACATTCATTTAAAGGAAATACAGGGGGGTTGAATTTTTTATTATAGGATTTTGACACTGGTTCAATTTACCATATAGAAAATTGACCTAGTGTTCAATTTTCAGTGGTTTCAATTTTCCATATATATATATATGACACTGGTATAGGTCTTGATAGATAATTCTACAGGAGCCTGTTGTTCAGTGGTTGTTGTTATTTGGTGTGGTTCAAAGATGTTTCTCATTTCTTGTTTTTAATGTAGATTAGACCTTTGGTTTTCCTGTTTGAATTGTTATACACTAGTCATTTTAGGGCCCTTTATATCTTGCTGTTTTGGTGCGAGCCAAGGCTCTGTGTTGAAGGCTATACTTTGACCTATAATTTTTTACATTTTATACATTGTGACTTGGATGGAGAGTTGTCTCATTGGCACTCATACCACATCTTCTTATTTATATCTACAGGTAAAATCAAATTCAAAACCAAATCTAAGGCTGACATTATATAAAATATTTAATATCTGCCTTCTTTTTTTCAGTTCTCATTGGATTTCTCTTCTGCAGTGGTAAGTGTGTCAATAAACTTATCAATAAAAAAAATACTCAACAATGATTATTAGTATGTTTCCATTAGCCATATTAAGCTGATCTTAGTGAAAATCATCTAGGTAGTTTGTCCTTTTCTACCTGTAGCCATAACATCAGCTCATTACTACAGGGGTCTGGGTTCAAGTCTCACTAGAGTCATGTGCATAAATGGCAAGTACACTCAGTCTACTGGTATGAGACAGAGCATTTTGCTTACAACATGAAGAAGTATAATTCTCTATTTTTTTCACCATTTTCACATTTCTCAACCGATTGTGAAAAAATTGTTCTCACTGATGAAATATCTGTTCTCGGCAAACGATTGGTAGAAATTTAATTATGACGTCATATTTTCCTGGTTTCTTCTGAATTTCCTATTGTGATGTCATGAAAAAAGGCGACAATGTCTGATGACGTTACATATAAACAACACAACTTTGAAAAGGAAGAATAACAATCATTAGAGAAACAGCTAGATTCCACCACTATAACTTGTGTATTAAGATATTTCTCCACTCTCAAAAGTTAAATTTTAATAATTTTAAAAGTTCGACAAGCCTCATGCTTTTAATGTTAAAATTTTACTGTCTCGAGTGGAGAAATATCGTAACACACTTGTTGCTGTGGTGGAATTTATATTCACCTTAATCATATATCATGTATATATGCATCTATTAACAGAAATAAGTTATAAACTGAAATGGTAACAAATTATCAGGTGAATGTGAGAATTAATTGCAAATATTTTTCCCTAAGGTATATCTGAAGTTTGTATAGTTATGTCAGTTGGCATTGACATTTTTAGCTCACCTGGCCCTATGGTCCAATTGAGCTTTTCTGATCACTTGGCGTCCGTCGTCGTCCATTAACTTTTACAAAAATTTTCTCCTCTGAAACAACTGGGCCAAATTTAACCAAACTTTGCTACAATCATTATTAGGGTATTAAGTTTAAAAAATGTGTCTGACGACCCCGCCTACCAACCAACATGGTGGCCATGGCTAAAAATAGAACATAGGGGTAAAATGCAGTTTTTGGCTTATATTTCTGAAACTTAAGCATTTAGAGCAAATCTGACATGGGGTTTAGATCTATCTGCTCTTAAATTTTCAGACGAATCAGACAACCTGTTGTTGGGTTGCTGCCCCTGAATTGGTAATTTTAAGGAAATTTTGCAGTTTTTGGTTATTATCTTGAATATTATTATAGATAGAGATAAACTGTAAACAGCAATAATGTTCAGCAAAGTAAGATCTACAAATAAGTCAACTTGACCAAAATTGTCAATTGACCCCTTAAGGACTTATTGCCCTTAATAGTCAATTTTTAACAATTTTTCGTAAATTTTGTAATCTTTTACAAAAATCTTCTCCACTTAATCTATTGGGCCAAATAGAATTAAACTAAGCCACAATTTTCAATAGGGTATCTTGATTGAAAAATGTATCCGATGACCCTACCAACATGGCCAACCATGGCTACAAATAGAACATAGTTGTTTACTATAGAAGTCTACAGGAAAATTGTAAAAAAAACAATTTCAAATGGTCACAACTGGAAAACTAATTTTCATAATGATAAAGGGGTCTAAGGTAACTATTGTAAGTCTACAATGGGATGACTTTATTTTTTTCCATGGGAGGGTGCAATTTTTTCAGGAGGGGGTGCTTATAATTTCTGCTTGATATTTTCTTATCCTTATATTGGAGTTATTGCCCATAAATGACGATTTATACCATTTTTTTTGCGTTTTGCCTTATATGATAAAAATTATAATAGATAGATAGAAACTTAAATAATCAAAAATGATAAGCAAGACAAGACCTACAATCAAGTCAAATTTTACCGATATAATTAGTAGATTGTTACTCTTTATAGGAGTTATTGCCCTTAAATTAGGAATTTTTTTTTACCCTCTTTTGTGTTTGGAGCAAAAGCTAAAAAAGATAGAGAGAAACTAAACAGACTTCAATGATCAGCAATATAAGATAATATGTCTTTTGATTGAGTTAAGCCATTTCAATTGATATTTTATAGTGTGTCTTTCTATGTTGTGATGTTACACTATTGTTTCAGATAAGGGTGAAGGTTTGGTACCATTAAAACGTTTAAACCCGCTGCAATTGTTTGCACCTGTCCTAAGTCAGCAATCTGATGTTCAGTAGTTGTAGTTTGTTGATGTGGTTCATAAGTGTTTCTTGTTTCTCGTTTTTTTATATAGATTAGACCGTTGGTTTTCCCGTTTGAATGGTTTTACACTAGTAATTTTTGGGGCCCTTTATACATGTTATAGCTTGCTGTTCGGTGTGAGCCAAGGCTCCGTGTTGAATACCGTACTTTGACCTATAATGGTTTACTTTTATAAATTTGAATGTCGAACACACAATAAAACTTATAAATCTTTATGCAGAATAAAGACTAACTTTCAAAATTTTTGTAGACAAAATCCACTAAATTACCAGTGTCTATGTGGGGAATCGAACTCAAGACCTTAAGCATATGAAGCCACGATTCATACCCCTACACCAGGACAACTGGATACAAACTCTATGTTAATTACACATAATTTTAAACATTGTATCTGGGCTTATAAAGGGTATATACTATATAGTAATATATAAAGTATATATTACAATTATTGTATTTTAAACTAGATGTTATGAAGCGTAAATGTTTTTTTTTCATATTGTCTTGAAGAGCTGGGATGTAAAATAATTATCCCACTCGGATAAGATCACCCTCTGGCCTCAGTCTTGGCCATTTATATTTTAGATATTCTAATAGTATTGCACGGCAGGGGTATCCTTTTGAGAGGTCACTCACATTCCTAATTTTGTTTCAGGTCAGGTTTAATGTTTTGTATTGGGTTTGTATTATATCAGAAATTGTTCATAAAAGGTCAATCAAGAACACAACATAAATCTATTGTACGGAGTGCATGTGTCCATCTGACATGGTTCAGTTGACTTTGACCTCAATTTCTGGATCACTGAGCTTCACAAAGTAATTTGAATATTGTAGGAGATGCAAAATAAATATCAGTTTAATTTTTACAGGCATTGCCGATAAGTCTTGTGGGATCTATAATGACGAATGGTTTGAAGAAATATTTTGTAAAATTGTCATACTCATTATTGTATCCCTTTTATTTTTACAGTTCCACATGTAACAAGCATTTTACTGAAATCAAGGCTCAAACTGTCTTTGAAAAGAAAAGAAAATGAATTCATGATTTTGAATGGAGACAATGTCAAAATAGAATGTAATGTTAAGTCATACATTCCTGTTCGTTCAGTTACCTGGCAGAAAGAAATAGATGGTGAAATTAAACATATCACTCCATCTATGGAAAAATATGAAATGAATTGTGAAAAAAGGCCATCTTTGACAATAGATAATTTTAATGCTGGTGATCAAGGAAAGTACAGATGTATAGTAAGAAATGCTGTTGGTCTGAGGAACGAAATGTTTGTTAGCTGTAGCAACTTCATGTCAAGAGTTGGTTGGTTGAAAGGATTTGTGACAGTATTACAACATATTCCTGCATTCCACAACGAAGATATGACATTACATTCTTACGGTAGGTTGAAAGTATAATTACTAACTAAATGTTAACTTACATTACAGCTAGGATACAGAAATTTTTCCACACAGTTTTGGTTCATTTTAAGAGGATTTGAAAGTTGTGGTAATTTTTATCAAACTGATCAAACTCTTACCATAAATCACAGAACAAACAAACTTTTATCTTCTACGATTTAAACAGCAGGAAATTTCTGCCCTCTTTGTGAAAAAATCAAGAATGATTTGTCAAATGCAAAATTTGAAAATTGAAAGATTTAGATAAATAAAATTTTATAAAATTTCATGTGAATCAAGCAGGCTTATTTTAATTTGAAAAAATAAAAATAGGAAGTTTCAAGTTAATCATAAATAAAAAATTAATATGGATTCATCTACAGATTATGGAATAGCAGGAAATCATTGTACTATTGAATTTATTACTTGTTTTAACCAATAGTAGTTACAATTTTCATTAAAATTATTGTTTTTGTATTTACGTCGGGATTTGTTTAAAAGGCAGTTAAGTATAATCTATCCAGCACTATAATTAAAAGCTATTTGGGATAGGGAGGAACTTTGAAAAGCCAAATACGATCTTCAAAAGAATCTACAAATAAGCTAGTTGATATTGCAGAAATCTTTTATTGACTCTTTAGAGGAGTTATTACCATTAAATGACAATTTTTATACAACCACAAAAATTGCGGTAATATATTGGTATCACGTCGTCAGCGTCGTCCGAAGACATTTGGTTTCTGGACAATAACTTTAGTTTAAGTGTATGGATCTCTATGAAATTTAATCAAAAGGTTCAATACCACAAAAGGAAGGTTGGGATTGTTTTTGGGGGTGATGGTCCCAACCGTTTAGGAATTAGGGGCCAAAAAGGGGCCAAAACAAACATTTTTCGAGTTTCATGACAATAACTTGTGTACAAGTATTTTGATTGCTCTGAAATTGTATCACAAGGTCACAAGGTTCAATACTACAAATAGAAGGTTGGGATTCATTTTGGGGGTAATTGGCCAAACCGTTCAGGAATTAGGGGCCAAAAAGGGTCTAAAAAAAGCATTTTTAGCTCACCTGGTCCGAAGGGCCAAGTGAGCTTTGCTCATCACTTGGCGTCCAGCGTCCGTCGTCGTCGTCGTTAGCTTTTTACAAAAATCTTCTCCTCTGAAACCACTGGGCCAAATTTAACCAAACTTGGCCACAATCATCATTAGGGTATCTAGTTTAAAAAACGTGTCCGATGACCCCGCCAACCAACCAAGATGGCCGCCATGGCTAAAAATAGAACATAGGGGTAAAATGTAGGTTTTGGCTTATATCTATGAAACCAAAGCATTTAGAGTAAATCTGACATAGGGTAAAACTGATCATCAGGTCAAGATCTATCTGCCCTTAAATTTTCAGACAAATCTGACAACCTGTTGTTGGGTTGCTGCCCCTGAATTGGTAATTTTAAGGAAATTTTGCAGTTTTTGGTTATTATCTTGAATATTATTATAGATGGAGATAAACTGTAAACAGCAATAATGTTCAGCAAAGTAAGATCTACAAATAAGTTGTCATGACCAAAATTGTCAGTCGACCCCTTTAGGAGTTATTGCCCTTAATAGTCAATTTTTAACAATTTTTCGTAAATTTTTGTAATCTTTTACAAAAATCTTCTTCTCTGAAACTACTGAGACAAATTTAACCATACTTGGCCATAATCATTATTGGGGTATCTAGTTTAAAAAATTTGTCCGATGCCCCCGCCTTCCAACCATCATGGCCAAGTTGGTTAAAAATAGAACATAGGGGTAAAATGCAGTTTTTGGTTTATATCTCTGAAACTAAAGCATTTAGAGCAAATCTGACAGGTGGCAAAAATGTTCCTCAGATTTAGATTTATCTGCCCTGAAATTTTCAGACGAATCCGACAACCCATTGTTGGGTTGCTGCCCCTGAGTTAGTAATTTTACAAAAGTTTGCAGTTTTTTTTGTTATTAGATATCATTATAATATCTAATATCAAATACTATTAATTATGATTTTAACCTTATTTTACATGATTTCCAAAGCATCAGTAAATACAGGTGAGCGACACAGGCTCTTGAGAGCCTCTAGTTCTAGTTTCAGACAATAACTTGTGTTTAAGTGTATGGATGTCTCTTAATTTGTACCACATTTTACAAAAAGAAAATTTCCTTAAAATTAATTTTTTTGGAAAACGGGGGGGGGGGGGGGGAGGCCGGGAGGGTAAAAAAAAATTGGGGGGGGGGAGGGAGATTTTTTTTCATCAAAAGGAAATTCTCTTCAAATATTATTTTTTTTTGAAGGAGGCAAGGATTTGTATAGTGAGAAGGATTGGAATCTCACGGTATATCGACACTTCTCGCGTATTGTGAGATGTTACGTACTCGCCACTTTACATTGATACTCGCCTGCATGTGTAAATATCTGGTTATATCGCTTGGTTGACAACGTTATAAACACACACAATTATTTTGCTTTCTTTATGGTAAGCTACGATCTATTTACGATATTTTGTTGAGACTTAACGATGAAATAATTCTTATTTCTCTTAAATTACAAAGTGATTATTACCTAAATCGACCAAAAGGAACTGTTGGCGTTTATAAAGTCTATCTCTGCAATTTTCGTATTAAAATTAAGTTTGTAAATTTTATATTCATGCCGGAAAAAGATTAAAGTTGAATATTCCCCCTCATGTGACCGCAGTTTTGATAGTCCAATATTATCATCTTGATGATCATTTACTCAAAGAGGTAAATGAAATAATTATTTGATTGTCACAGCTTGTTGTTTGACTTTCTGTTCTTCTGTTTTTATAAATACGGATTATATCACTATACAAATCCTTGGAGGAGGGTAAAAAAAAAATTTTGGTGGTAAAAAAAAATTTTTTTTGGGGGGAGTCAATTTTTTTTTCCTCAAGATTTAAGAAATTGTCAATTTTCCAAAGAAAAAATTAAAAAGAAGATTTCTTCAAATATTTTTTTTGGAAAAAAGGGGGGGTAAAAAAAAATTTTTGGGGGGTCCAAAGAAAAATTGGGGATCACAATTTATTTTGCTAATTCTTTGTATATAGTCTGAAAACAGATTTACTAAGTATTGCGCAACAGCACAGTGTATTGCACAAAAGCAAGAAATCTTCAATTGAATATAAATTCAAATCATATAACCAATTTCAAGTTCTTTGACTACATTTATTCTGTGTCAAAAACCTATAATGTGTCAAATATTTAATTACAATCCAAATTCATACCTGTATCAAGCTTGAATATTGTGTCCATTTTTGGCCCAACTGTTCAGGGTTGGACCTCTGTGGTTGCATCCAGCTGCGCTAGGCGAAGCAGTTTATTAGCTAAGTAGATTCCCCAAGGGCAAACTAGTTATAAATATCAATTAATAAAAGTTTTATTTCACTTATAAATTATGTTTCAATCAAACCTGGATACTGATTGGCAAGCTATACATTATGTAAAAAATTTGTTGCTTTGAGCACTGAATGCTTAATTATACCCCACGCAACGAGTTGCGAAGGGTATAATGTTTTTGACCCGTCCGTCCGTCTGTCCGTCAGTCCGTCTGTCTGTCCGTCCGTCCGTCAGTCCGTCAGTCCTGTTTCTTGTCATCGCAACTCCTCTCAAACCACAAAACAGAATTTCACGAAAACTTTTTAGATAATAAGGACATTCTATGTAGTTGTGCATATCGACAGGGAATTACGAGTCAATTCTTTTTCTAAAAGTTACGCCCCTTTGAACTTATTTACTTTAATGTACTACTGCAACAATTTGTCATCGCAACTCCTCTCAAACCACACAACAGAATTTCATGAAACCTTTTCAGATAAAAAGGACATACTACCTAGATGTGCATATCGACAGGAAATTACGATTCAATTTTTTTTCCAGGAGTTACACCCCTTTGAACTTATTTGCCCAATATACTACTGCAACCTTTTGTCATCGCAACTTCTCTCAAACCACACAACAGAATTTCATGGAACCTTTTCAGATAATAAGGACATACTACGTAGATGTGCATATCGACAGGAAATTACAATTCAATTTTTTTTCCAGGAGTTACGCCCCTTTGAACTTATTTGCCCAATATACTACTGCAACCTTTTGTCATCGCAACTCCTCTCAAACCCCACAACAGAATTTCATGAAACCTTTTCAGATAATAAGGACATACTACGTGGATGTGCATATCGACAGGAAATTACGATTCAATTTTTTTTCCAGGAGTTACGCCCCTTTGAACTTATTTGCCCAATATACCACTGCAACCTATTGTCATCGCAACTCCTCTCAAACCACACAACAGAATTTCATGAAACCTTTTCAGATAATAAGGACATACTACGTAGATGTGCATATCGACAGGAAATTACAATTCAATTTTTTTTCCAGGAGTTACGCCCCTTTGAACTTATTTGCCCAATATACTACTGCAACCTTTTGTCATCGCAACTCCTCTCAAACCACACAACAGAATTTAATGAAACCTTTTCAGATAATAAGGACATACTACGTAGATGAGCATATCGACAGGAAATTACGATTCAATTTTTTTTTGCAGGAGTTACGCCACTTTGAACTTATTTGCCCAATATACTACTGCAACCTTTTGTCATTGCAACTCCTCTCAAATTACACAACAGAATTTCATGAAACCTTTTCAGATAATAAGGACATACTACGTAGATGTGCATATTGACAGGAAATTACAATTCAATATTTTTTCCAGGAAGTACGACCCTTTGAACTTATTTGCCCAATATACTACTGCAACCTTTTGTCATCACAACTCCTCTCAAACCACACAACAGAATTTCATGAAACCTTTTCAGATAATAAGGACATACTACGTAGATGTGCATATCGACAGGAAATTACAATTCAATTTTTTTTCCAGGAGTTACGCCCCTTTGAACTTATTTGCCCAATATACCACTGCAACCTTTTGTCATCGCAACTCCTCTCAAACCACACAACAGAATTTCATGAAACCTTTTCAGATAATAAGGACATACTACGTAGATGTGCATATCGACAGGAAATTACAATTCAATTTTTTTTCCAGGAGTTACGCCCCTTTGAACTTATTTGCCCAATATACTACTGCAACTTTTTGTCATCACAACTCCTCTCAAACCACACAACAGAATTTCATGAAACCTTTTCAGATAATAAGGACATACTACGTAGATGAGCATATCGACAGGAAATTACGATTCAATTTTTTTTTGCAGGAGTTACGCCACTTTGAACTTATTTGCCCAATATACTACTGCAACCTTTTGTCATTGCAACTCCTCTCAAATTACACAACAGAATTTCATGAAACCTTTTCAGATAATAAGGACATACTACGTAGATGTGCATATTGACAGGAAATTACAATTCAATATTTTTTCCAGGAAGTACGACCCTTTGAACTTATTTGCCCAATATACTACTGCAACCTTTTGTCATCACAACTCCTCTCAAACCACACAACAGAATTTCATGAAACCTTTTCAGATAATAAGGACATACTACGTAGATGTGCATATCGACAGGAAATTACAATTCAATTTTTTTTCCAGGAGTTACGCCCCTTTGAACTTATTTGCCCAATATACCACTGCAACCTTTTGTCATCGCAACTCCTCTCAAACCACACAACAGAATTTCATGAAACCTTTTCAGATAATAAGGACATACTACGTAGATGTGCATATCGACAGGAAATTACAATTCAATTTTTTTTCCAGGAGTTACGCCCCTTTGAACTTATTTGCCCAATATACTACTGCAACCTTTTGTCATCGCAACTTCTCTCAAACCACACAACAGAATTTCATGGAACCTTTTCAGATAATAAGGACATACTACGTAGATGTGCATATCGACAGGAAATTACAATTCAATTTTTTTTCCAGGAGTTACGCCCCTTTGAACTTATTTGCCCAATATACTACTGCAACCTTTTGTCATCGCAACTCCTCTCAAACCCCACAACAGAATTTCATGAAACCTTTTCAGATAATAAGGACATACTACGTGGATGTGCATATCGACAGGAAATTACGATTCAATTTTTTTTCCAGGAGTTACGCCCCTTTGAACTTATTTGCCCAATATACCACTGCAACCTATTGTCATCGCAACTCCTCTCAAACCACACAACAGAATTTCATGAAACCTTTTCAGATAATAAGGACATACTACGTAGATGTGCATATCGACAGGAAATTACAATTCAATTTTTTTTCCAGGAGTTACGCCCCTTTGAACTTATTTGCCCAATATACTACTGCAACCTTTTGTCATCGCAACTCCTCTCAAACCACACAACAGAATTTAATGAAACCTTTTCAGATAATAAGGACATACTACGTAGATGAGCATATCGACAGGAAATTACGATTCAATTTTTTTTTGCAGGAGTTACGCCACTTTGAACTTATTTGCCCAATATACTACTGCAACCTTTTGTCATTGCAACTCCTCTCAAATTACACAACAGAATTTCATGAAACCTTTTCAGATAATAAGGACATACTACGTAGATGTGCATATTGACAGGAAATTACAATTCAATATTTTTTCCAGGAAGTACGACCCTTTGAACTTATTTGCCCAATATACTACTGCAACCTTTTGTCATCACAACTCCTCTCAAACCACACAACAGAATTTCATGAAACCTTTTCAGATAATAAGGACATACTACGTAGATGTGCATATCGACAGGAAATTACAATTCAATTTTTTTTCCAGGAGTTACGCCCCTTTGAACTTATTTGCCCAATATACCACTGCAACCTTTTGTCATCGCAACTCCTCTCAAACCACACAACAGAATTTCATGAAACCTTTTCAGATAATAAGGACATACTACGTAGATGTGCATATCGACAGGAAATTACAATTCAATTTTTTTTCCAGGAGTTACGCCCCTTTGAACTTATTTGCCCAATATACTACTGCAACCTTTTGTCATCACAACTCCTCTCAAACCACACAACAGAATTTCATGAAACCTTTTCAGATAATAAGGACATACTACGTAGATGAGCATATCGACAGGAAATTACGATTCAATTTTTTTTTCCAGGAGTTACGCCCCTTTGAACTTATTTGCCGAATATACTACTGCAACCTTTTGTCATTGCAACTCCTCTCAAATTACACAACAGAATTTCATGAAACCTTTTCAGATAATAAGGACATACTACGTAGATGTGCATATTGACAGGAAATTACAATTCAATTTTTTTTCCAGGAGTTACGCCCCTTTGAACTTATTTGCCCAATATACTACTGCAACCTTTTGTCATCGCAACTCCTCTCAAACCACACAACAGAATTTCATGAAACCTTTTCAGATAATAAGGACATACTACATAGATGTGCATATCGACAGGAAATTACGATTCAATTTTTTTTTCCAGGAGTTACGCCCCTTTGAACTTATTTGCCCAATATACTACTGCAACCTTTTGTCATTGCAACTCCTCTCAAATTACACAACAGAATTTCATGAAACCTTTTCAGATAATAAGGACATACTACGTAGATGTGCAAATTGACAGGAAATTACAATTCAATTTTTTTTCCAGGAGTTACGCCCCTTTGAACTTATTTGCCCAATATACTACTGCAACCTTTTGTCATCGCAACTCCTCTCAAACCACACAACAGAATTTCATGAAACCTTTTCAGATAATAAGGACATACTATGTAGATGTGCATATCGACAGGAAATTACGATTCAATTTTTTTCCAGGAGTTACGCCCCTTTGAACTTATTTGCCCAATATACCACTGCAATCTTTTGTCATCGCAACTCCTCTCAAACCACACAACAGAATTTCATGAAACCTTTTCAGATAATAAGGACATACTATGTAGATGTGCATATCGACAGGAAATTACAATTCAATTTTTTTTCCAGGAGTTACGCCCCTTTGAACTTATTTGCCCAATATACTACTGCAACCTTTTGTCATCGCAACTCCTCTCAAACCACACAACAGAATTTCATGAAACTGTGTAGATAATAAGGACATACTATGTAGATGTGCATATTGACAGGAAATTATGATTCAATTTTTTTTTCTGATACAATTTTTTTTCCTTACACTTATTTTATTTCTCCAATGACAATGTGGGGACATGGGGTATGTGAGCGCACTCACTAAGGTTCTTTCATTTCACATATCCTGAGTTCATTGGGGAATTCCTAAATTTATAAGGAATAATTAAAATATTATCAAATTGCTATGAACTCATTATGTGTGACTTTGAGGATTTTGTTTATTGACACATATCTCAGTATAAGTTGGATATGAGGGCAGAGACTTACATACAAAAGCTGGTTTAAGGCCAGGTCAAATGTTGGATATTGAAGGCAGAGACTTATATACAAAGCTGGTTAAATAAGGTCAGATCAAATGTTATTCATGATGTACCTGTTTCTGTGGATGATTAGTCAGGTGTCAGATACAATTCATTATACTTAGCACACTTACACACTTAAACAGGATAAAACAGTTTCCATAACAGACAATCAAATATAGCACACTATGACAACACAGATAAAAGTACTAAAGGATAGAATCAGCAAATATAGAAAATGACAATTAAACATATCTGGACTATATCAGAGAATTGTGTATAAAGGGGTTTTAACCTTGTATTACTATTTCGGATATTGGGCCCCATTTTTAAATTGGTCTACATTGAGGTCCAAAGGGTCCAAAATTAAACTTTATTTGATTTCATCAAAAATTGAATTATTACGGCTCTATGGTATGCTGAATCTTATTGTGCATTTAGATTTTTTATTTTGGGCCCTGTTTTCAAATTAGTCTATATTAAGGTTTGAAGGGTCCAAAACTAAACTTTGTTTGATTTCAACTAAAATTAAATTTTTTGGGTTTTTTTATATGCTGAATCTAACCATGTTGTTAGATTTTAGATATCAGACCAAACTAGGTAAATTAAATGTCCCATTTCAAATTTTTAAGATCTTTGACTACATTCATTTTGTGTCAGAAACCTATGTTATGCCAAAAATTTGATCACAATCCAAATTCAGACAGTATCAAGCTTGAATATTGTGTCCAAACTTGCGCCAACTGTTCAGGGTTCGACCTCTGCAGTCGTATCAGGCTGCGCTCTATGAAGCATTTTTTCTTCTTCTTATAAACAATTTTCATGTTTACTGGCAAATTGTACTATCCAATAGCTATTTATTAAAGCAGAGTCTATAATTCCCAGCTATAAAGAACTGATGAGACAATGAGTTTGAAAGTGGGTGACCCGGAATTTGACTTTTTTCCATGTTTTGGACTAAAATTTTTCAGCCTTAAAGAATGCTTACCCCATAAATCCCTCGCTATCCATTTGTACTATGCAATAACTATTTATTAAAGCATATCTATAGTCCCTAGCCATAAAGAACTGCATAGACATGGGTTGGAAAGTGGGTACCCCTAATATGCATTTTATAGAATTTGAATTTTTCCATGTTTCGGACGAAAATTTTCAGTCTTTAAGAATGCATACCCCAAAACTTCTTTGTGTCCAGAAAGAAAACCATGTGTCCAGTATGCATATATGCGCCTAGTACTATCCAATAGCTATGTATTACAGCAGAGTCTATAGTCCCTAGCCATGAAGAACTGTCTGGACAGTGGGTTAGAAAGTGGGTACTCCTAATGCCTTGTTTATAGTATTTGACTTTTTTCCATGTTTCATACAAAATTTTTGGCCTTTAAGAATGCTTACCCCAGAAATTCTTTGCTATCCTGTTGTAGAAATATCCAATAGCTATTTATTAACGCAGAGTCTTTAATTCCTAGCCATAAATAGCTTTTTAGACCTCTTAAATGTGAATTACTGGTCAAGTATGAATTTCATAGTTGCAAGTTTTTGTTTTGACTCAATATTGTGAGTTGTTATGTCGTTAACAATTTTCAAAATGTCACAAAAATGAATTCTTATGTAAACAGAAATTTTATTGATGGTAATAGATGTTAAGATAAGTTTAAAATTGATTTTATACATTTAATTTGTAAATATCGGCTACAATTGTGAATTAAGTAGTTGCAAGAAAAAGAAATGTATTTTTAACCGGATTTTCAAAGGAAATATCGGTTATTTAAATGGGGATGTACGGGGGACAGCTGGGCAGGCTGACGAGCGGCTGCCAAACAGTGTCAGCACAATAACATGAAAACGCTTTTACAAATTATTTTCAAATTTAAATATGTTGTTTCATGGGACTTAATGAAGGTCTAGTTCAATTTTCAAGATATTAGTATATGTATCTCCTTTGTGAGTTATCACCATTTTTAATATCCAAAAGTGGAATTTTTAAATATTTTACTCTTGTTATCTTTTTTAAGACTAAGCATAATGTCTTATCTCACAACAAAATATTGGAGTGACAGATTTATTTGAAAATTATCTATTTCTAAGTGGTAATGATTATAAGCTGTATTATTAGACATTTTGAAGTTAATTACATTATTAATTATTAATTAGATCTGGGTTATATCTTAGCATATAATATCGTTGGAGTGACAGATTTATTTGAAAATTTTCTGACTCCTGCTAAGATCTGTAGGACTGTATATATTAGACATTTTGTAGATAATTAAGTCTCCCTAAACCATATATATTCTTACCCCCACCCCCTTTCAATTTGAGAATGTGCTTTTATCTTGTAAACGGTTGAGATCCCCACCCCTAAACCATATATATTCTTGTATGGGACAATAAAACAAATCAAATGAAATATTTGGGGAGTCCATTGGGGTTCACCCCCACCCCGTTCTGTTTGAGAATTTGTAAATGGTCGAGATCCCCACCCCTTAACCATATATATTCTTGTATGGGACAATAAAACAAATCAAATGAAATATAGGGGAAGTCCATTGGGGTAACCCCCATCCCCTTCTGTTTGAGAAATTGTAAACGGTTGAGATCCCCACCCCTAAACCATATATATTCTTGTATGGGACAATAAAACAAATCAAATGAAATTTAGGGGAAGTCCACGAGGGTAACCCCACCCCCTTCTTTTTGAAAACTTGTAAACGGTTGAGATCCCCACCCCTAAACCATATATAATCTTTTATGGGACATTAAAACAAATCAAATGAAATAAAAGGTGAGTCCCCTGGGGTAACGTTAACCCCAACCCCCTTTTTTTTGAAAACTTGTAAACAGTCAAGATCTCCACCCTGAAACCATTTTTCTTCTTGTATATTACAATAAAACAAATCAAATGAAATAAAAGTCAAGTCCCTTGGGGTGTTTTTTGTGATGGAGTTTTTTTCCTTTGAACAGAAATTGTTAATTATATACATAAAGTTTGATTACACTAAGCCTTTATAGATAATTTTCACCTGTTTATATGTCCTGTAATCAGTTTACTAAACATATGGTTAATGTCTTATCTTGAGTGACAGATTTATTTGAAAATTTTCTGTTTTTTTAGTGTTGATGATTGAAAGCTATATAGTAGTAAATATAGTAAGAAATTTACTATTCATTATTAGACATTTTGAAGATAATTACAGATAAGTTTTATAGATTTTTAAAAGACATTGTATTAATGATAAATAAAATTTTTTCTTTTTTTTTTCTTTACTTTGGTAAATTGTAAATTGTTTGTTATTCTGTAAAAACTAATTTTCTGAATACTATATATAATTTTTTTATTAGGCGAACTCCTTTTAAAACTTAGCTGATATTGTCTATTAATAAACATATATTTAGATTTCTGATTTTGGGCCCAGTTTTCAAGTAGGTCCAAATCAGGGTCCAAGATTAAACTGTGTTTGATTTCAACATAACTTGAATATATATAGGGTTCTTTGAAATGCTGAATCTAAACCTGTATTTATTTTCATTATTAGTTAGATAATACCACATCGAGGTACTAAGAGTCCTAAATTAAACTTTTGTTTAATCAACAATTGAATTCTTTGGTTCTTTGATATGCTGATTTTAACAATGTTTGAGTGTTAAATCATATCTAATTTAAGAGAACTTAGTCAACACTGGTTGTTGTTATTATATTATTGATTATAATTTGAAAAATGACATCATATCTAATTTTATAGAACTTAGTCATCACTTTATATTCATTATAATCATAAAATTGAGAATGGAAATGGGGAATGTGTCAAAGAGACAACAACAAGACCATAGAACAGACAACAGCAGAAGGTCACCAACAGGTCTTCAATGCAGCGAGAAATTCCCGCACCCGGAGGCGTCCTTCAGCTGGCCCATAAACAAATATATATACTAGTTCAGTGATAATGAACGCCATACTAAACTCCAAATTGTACACAAGAAACTAAAATTAAAAATAATACAAGACTAACAAAGGCTAGAGGCTCCTGACTTGGGACAGGCGCAAAAATGCGGCAGGGTTAAACATGTTTATGAGATCTCAACCCTCCCCCTATACCTCTAGCCAATGTAGAAAAGTAAACGCATAACAATACGCACATTAAAATTCAGTTCAAGAGAAGTCCGAGTCTGATGTCAGAAGATGTAACCAAAGAAAATAAACAAAATGACAATAATACATAAATAACAACAGACTACTAGCAGTTAACTGACATGCCAGCTCCAGACTTCAATTAAACTGATTGAAAGATTATGTCTTCATCATATGAATATCAGGCACAATCCTTCCCGTTAGGGGTTTAGTATCATACCATCATAACATATATGAGAAGAACATAACCCGTGTCATGCCAACAACTGGTTTTTAAATAAATGTGTTTAGTGAAGATGCAAAGACCCTATAAGTGAATCAATATTAACGCCAAAATATGCAATCTTTAATGACCTGACAACAGTATCGTAACTATATCCTTTCTTAATAAGTCTATTTATAGGTTTTGTTAGCTTCAGAGGTGAATACTGACATTTTTGTGCTTTATAAAGAATATTTCCATAAAAAATTGGATGTGAAATACCTGAACGTATAAGAAGTCTGCATGTTGAGCTATATTTACGAATGATATCCTTATACCGATGATAAAATTTAGTAAATGTTTTGACTAGTTTGTGATATCGAAAACCCTGGTGTAATAATTTTTCAGTTATACATAAATTTCTCTCGTTAAAATCTAAAACATTGTTAAATACACGAGCTATCTATTTATCAAGTTTGAGTTATTTCCCTTTGCACAGAAAATATTTGGATAAAATTAAATTGTGTTTCATTTCAACTTAAATTAAATATATATAGGGTTCTTTCAAATGCTGAATCTAAACCTGTATTTAAATATTAGATTTTTGGGCCCAGTTTTCAAGTTGGTCCAAATCAGGGTCCAAAATTAAACTTTGTTTCATTCACAAAATTGAATTTATGTGGTTCCTTGAAATGCTGAATCTTACCATGTATTGAGAGATTTTGGATTGTGTGCTCCTTTATCAAATTGGTCCACATTGTGGTCCAAAGGGTCCTAAATTAAACTTTTGTTTGATTTCATTAAAAAATGAATTTTTGGAGTTCTTTGATATGCTGATTCTGACAATGTACTTAGATTTTGGATATTGGACCATAGTAGGTAATTAAATAAATGTACAATTTCAAATATTTCAGTTCTTTGACCACATTCATTTTGTGTCACAAACCTATGCTGTGTCAAATATTCAACCACAATCCAAATTCAGAGCAGTTTTAAGCTTAAATGAAGTGTCCATACTTGCTCAACTGTTCAGGGTTTGACCTCTGCAGGAAAATCTGGTTTGCTGTCACTCTGACAGCCTCTTGTTGTTATTTTATGTTGCTATGTATTCAAGTATTGAATATTGAATTTTTTAGTCAAAAATATTAGTAAAAAAAATAGCATAAAAGAGTTCTGAAGTTGTATAGAAAAGTAAAATAGTCGGTATTACATGTGAAAATTAATTTAAACCATAATTCTACATTTTTAAGGTGTTGATATGAGTAAGAAAATGGCAAATGTGGGATAAATATGCGTAAATACAAATAATATCATGGACTAAATATATCGCAATTTATTAGAATCTTTAATACTATTTTTCTTTTAAAATTGCTATTTACAGACCCTTAAATGTGAGTTACAAAATCGCATATCTTCAGTTATAAAGTTTTAAATAGAAGTTGCATGAGAAAATTAATTTTACATCAAAAGTCTTAATTTTTTAGTGTGAGTTTAAAAATTGCAAATGTTAAATAGGCGTTTATACAAATCACATCATGGACAAAACAAATAATATTTTGCTAGTTATAAAACTGTAAATATGAGTTAGAAATCTCTAAACTAAAGTTAAAAATTTGTTAATGGAATATATATAAAAATCTTTGATTTTATATATACTAGAAGATGCCCGTGAAATCTCGGTACAATTGGGCAAGTGTTGAAACAAAGAGTTTTTGAATTTGGCAGGCAGTACGTCGACTGAGCATGTGTGAACGCGTATAAGACACGGATCGATAACTGTTTCCGAATTTGGATATTTTCTCAAAAATTAACGTTTTCTGTGGAAAAAAATTGTTTCAAAGACAAATTTAGGAAGTATAAAACACTACATTTATACGTCATATCACAAATATTTATGACTTTGTATGGTTTCAGAGGAGTTGCGGTTCAATGAAATCGGTCTCTTCCTTTAGTAGAAGTCTTTTTTTCGAACAAAAAAGTCAAAAACCATGATTTTGAAAAAATAAAATTGTCGCTCAAGAAGTTTTCCAAATGCAATTGCAGAATAGCTTTTTATAATGAGAATTGCTGGATAGCTTGACACTAGTGTTTTGTGCCTTGTTGCAATGTGGTGTATGTGACACAGAAAAACTGGGTGTCTATTGTCTATGCCTATATCTTATGGTCTGGTAATGGCTCCCAGATGTATAATTCTTGTCAGATTTATATATTAAAGTATTTCTGTTTCTATTTCCTGAGATACTATTAAACAGAATGACTTCATATTTAGTCAGCAGCTGGACAGTGATGAGTTTTATTGGGATTTTTTTAGATCTGTTTGCCCATTCTTTGGATTTGTCAATACATTGAATGAACTAATACTTTTCGTTATACATTTATCCCTAGTTAATACTACTGAATAGAATGACTTTTAGTCCACAGTTGACCAGCTGTGGTAATAAATCAAGATGGAACATGATGAATTGTGTACTGTTTATTTACTTCAATATCTGTAAATGAAATATAAATATTCTTTGAGGTTCTAAATATTTAGTTTCTTGTTTTCAGACATTGATCTACAGTCAAAACAAACTGTATACAATGTTTATAAAGGAGATGATATAACTATGGAGTTTAATGATCAACAGAAACTGATAGCAGTCAAATGGTTTAAAAAAAATGACATATGGACAGAGCTGGACATAAGTAATGAACAGTTCAGTGGAGGTGTCCCTGATGTTCCATCTCTGACTATAAAGGTCACAAGAATAAGAAATGCTGGAAAATATTTATGCTTGCTGATATATGATAATGGTGAAACACAGAAGGCTTTATTTAAACTGAAAATAATACTTCAAGGTATGTATGGTCATTTGGTTTAACATAGTATTTATATATGAAATACTTAAAGGTTCATAAAGAGTGAGAATTGGATATCAACTCAAGTTATTTAATTTCAATATGATAATGAAGAAGCCTTTGTCAAGTTTATCATTGCTATTTTTTTTAAATAAGGAGAGTTAATATCAAGTGATATCCAATTCTCAACAGTTGCCATGGTTGTTAAACCTATTCCTCTTAATGATAATTATTTTCTTTGTGTTCAATAGAAAAGTCTGTGACTTGATGATCTCGTCTTTTGGACATATTTAAAGCTTACTTTACATAGAAGATTATTTTTTAGTAAGTTGCATTTATTCCCTTCTTGTTCAAGACATTTGGATGAATCTGAACGAGTGCAACTTATAATAATAGTAACCCAATTTGTGATTGCAACCGTAAAACTTATCTAGTGTCATTTTAGTTGCCAGCTCTTCCTTGCAATGTTCTCTGCACCTATTACATAATTGATATTTACATGGGCAAAATGCAGGTGCCACATGTGCAATAGAATCTGCTAACCTTTCCAGAGAACTTGAGATCCAGATTTTTAATAAGGTTCATGTTGCTCAGTCGTTAGTTTTCTATGTAACGTTTTGAAGTTTGCTGTTTGTCTTATCTTCATTTTGAGCCAGGAAAGAGGCAGTCGGAAACAGGCTTATTGGTGGTGTCAGGCGGACAGATGAACAGGCCAGCGGTAAAAAGTGGGTAGATCATTTGTACAATCAACTCCTACGGTTATTAACGCAGATTCCTGGAACTTTACAGGAAGATTAAGTTGTGCACCTGCTGTTATTGAATTGTTTGATGATTTTTTGGTCATTTTTCTTGACTTGAGAATTTAATTAGTCATTTTACAGCAAAATTAATGAAACAGGGTATACATTTTGTGTAATTAATGCAACTCCTTTAACAGTTTTCGACCTAGATCCCTGAAACATTGCTGAAAGATTGCACATATGTTAAAGTGATGCACCTGCTATTATGGAATTGTTTGATGATTTTTTTCTCATTTTTCAAGACTTTGGAAGTTGCCATTTTTAGCCAAATTTATGAAAGAGAGTACAAATTTTGTATAAAAAACAACAGAGATCCCTAAAACTTCACTGGAAGATTGCACATATGTTGAAGTTGTGCCATTTGTTTGCCATTCATATAGTTATGGTTCTTGAAGTATTACTTTATGTCTTTTTTGTGCAATAACTTGAGAATGGTTGATTCAATCAATTTTCACACTTTATTATTATTTTCAACTTTTGATGTCCCTTTGGTATCTTTCGCCTCTCTTTTATTATTTACCAATACAAAATGGAGGTCAAGTCAGATGTTTATAACTTTCAATTTTAGTGTTCAGGAGTTTTTGTTTTTAAGTGATAAAAAAAAAGCATCAATGTCATTTCAGTTAAATAGATTAGAGTCAATCAATCCTTTCTAAATTATAATTTTTGTTTTCTCATGAAGAGATAAGGGTCAGGTTCCATATGGAGATTTCCATGTTTGCTATTTATGAGTTCTGATCATTGATTGATTAAAATTGGAGCTTCAATGTAATTTTACTTTTGTGATAACTGTCCAACATTTTTAGCTCACCTTTCCAAAGGAAATGTGAGCTTTTGCCATCACTTGGCGTCCATCGTCGTTGCCGTCCAGTGTAAACTATTTCAAACATCTTCTCCTCTGAAACTACTGAACCAATTCCAACCAAACTTAAGCTGAATGATCCTTAGGGTATCTAGAATAAAGTGTGTGTTTTATTTTCTGTTTCTTAAAAAAACATGGCCGCCCGCCATGGTTAAAAATAGAACATAGGGGTAAAATGCAGTTTTTATACGCCCGTTTACGGGACGTATTATGGTATACTGTTGTCCGTCCGTCCGTCGTCAACATGTCGGACAATAACTCAAAAACGCTTGTACCAATTCGCATGAAACTTTGGTGAATTGTTTATATCTATTGCCATGAGCTCCCTTTCCATTTTTATAAATCTTAGATTTTACATTTCCGAGTTATGGGGTTTTATTCATTAAAAAAAGGGGGGTTTTCCAGTTTTCGGACAATAACTCAAAAATGCTTTCACCAACTTTAAATTATCAGCCAAATCGGGTATCTGATTTTTAGGTTATTGCCCCTGAATTGATGATGTTAAGGAAAATTTGCAGTTTAAGGTTATTATCTTGAATATTATTATCGATAAAGATAAACTGTAAACAGCAAAAATGTTCAGCATAGTTAGATCTACAAATAAATTTAAATTACCAAAATTGTAAATTGACCCCTTAAGGAGTTATTGCCCTTTAAAGACAATTTTTCACATTTTGTTCATCTAGTTTGCTTACTTTAAAAAATCTTCTCCTTTGAAACTGCTGAATCAATTTCAGCCAATCTTTGGCTGAATGAGTTTCAGAGTATCTAGTATAAATTTTGTATTTAATCCTTGTACAACAAGAAACATAGCCACTATGGCTAAAATGGAACATAGGGGTAAAATGCATTTTTTTGCTTTTTAAGAAAATATGACAGATACAAAGAACATTTAAATGGCATTTTTAAGCCACTCATTAATATATATTGAAATGCAAAAATAATCATTGATGAAAGATTTAAGCAAAAAATTACAGGTGAGCGATTCAGGCTCTTGAGAGCCTCTTGTTTAAACCAGGCTCATAAGGAGGGGATAATATACTGTCATTTGTGGCAGAAAAGTTGATATTGTTAATGTTATAAACTACCACTAGGTCAATGCTTCTGCTGGTGGACTGTTAGACACCAAGAAACTTCCACTCATAAATAATGTAACTATTCAGGAATTAAGACACTTGATTGCTTAACATTGGCACTTAAATACAAGTAACCAAAAATACAGTTATCCGTCATTTGACAGTCTATTGTTATGATATGCTACTATCAATATATCATAAGCAATTGCTTGAGCAACCATGCATTGTAGTAAAAATGGGGTCCATGCATGAATTGAAAGGCCTTGTAGGTGTTATCTGCATCTTGACTAATATATCAGAACTGTGTGCATGTAATTAAGCAGCTAGCAATGATGTTTGAAAAGAATATTAGAAAAAAATAATGAATATTTACATTCTCTTTTATGTGACATTGTTTTCATAATATTACTTTAAAGTTTGATGCATAGAAGTAGGTCAAAATATATAATGTATGTTCGAATATAACTAAAGCACCATATTCATGTTATGTTTTTCAGTCAAGTTTTACAAGGCCCTTTGTGAACACAGAGAAGACAGAACATTTATACGGCCAGCCATTTGTGACAATATAGATAAATATATGCAAGAAAATAACATAGTGGTCATCACTGGCAGAGAAGGAACAGGGAAGAGTAAAATATGTCTGGAACTAGCATCATTTTATGATGAGAAAGATTATATGGTTTTGAAAGTAGATTTGTCAGAAAATCACTCAATATATACAGATATTGGTAATGCATTGCTAATCATTGATGATCAACAGTATACTCAAGATTCTCTCAATGCCTTTATGAAAGACCTTTTACCAGTATTACCTAAAAGAAATATACAAGTGATATTGACTTGCAGGAATTTAGATTTAAAGATTGTGAGAAATGTACCAGAAATGAATAAATTGAAGAGTGAAGCATTTATAAACATTAACAATTGTTTAACACCTGAAGAAAAAGAAGAAATGTTAAGAAGATACATGAAAGAGAATAACATTGCATCATCAGCATCATATGACAGTAATTTCAGAGATCCAAAAATTCTAACTGATTTTTCTGTACAAGTAAGACTCGATGAGGATGCCATCAAAATAATTAAGAATGAAGAGCCATGGAAGGGGTTCCCCTTGTGTGCTTCATCGTTTTGTTCTGATAGAAAACTTTTGCATTTAGGAGAAAAACATTTCACCAATCCGCCAAGATATCTTTTTGAAGAACTGAGAGAACTTTATGAAACTTCTAGAAGAGATTTAAATCATGCTAATTGCATACTAACAATAATTGACTACTGTGTTTTAGTTTATGTTATGAAAAATCACCAACTAACCCTAAATGACAACAATCTCTACATTGATCTTGTTGAACTATATCAAACATTATTTCAGTTTAGATATATACCTGAAAAACCTGGTTCAAATGAGGATCAGAAAAAAGCAATAGAAGAAGCATTACACAGAATGACTAACAAATACCTTACATTCAATGAGGGTGTTTACGAGTTTCTTCATCCATGTCTGTTTAAAGCAATGTTCTTGTCATCTAATTCTGTGATTCCTTATCTAATCCAAAATGGTTCATTACACGATATAACAGAGTTTGTTCGGTGTGAAGTTTATACTGGTTTGGAAAATGAATTAGTTATTAACATCAATAACCATTATCATCACATCCTTTGTGAGAGGTTGGTGAGACATGCGTTAGAGGATCGTTCCTTACTGCTGCATGTTGCACAATATATTTACTCATACTGGCATTCATCAGGTAATAATCTTGTGAATATGATGTTCAAGCATATTGAATTCATTCTGTTTAATAGTTTGGGAGTACAAACTAGTGGTCTTCCATCACTTGACAATCGAAGTTTATCTGAAAATAACATCAAATTAGAAGGTAAAATTAAACTTTCTAACATCATTGTGTTAGTTGATGAATTAACATATAAAGGCCGAGATCCATGGATATATGGACCTGGTACATCAGATTTCCTTATAATCAGTGCGTTGGTTTCAGCTGCAGTGGGTAGATATGAAACCAACAGAGATCAGACTTTTAAAATTCTGTTGAAAGAGTTTCAGAATAGGATACACTTGGAATCGTTTGTAAAACTATTGGGTAAACCTTTAGATATGTATGGAAACACTTTCTTTCATTATCTGATGGGTTTAAGTCAGAAGGAAACATCTGCAATCTTATCTGCGAATGCAGAAATGAAATATACATTTGATACAGAAAATGTAAAGAAATATTCTCCTCTGGATATTGCAGCATTCTTGGGGAAGAGAACAGTTTTGGAAGATCTGAGACTGAGGACTAACTTTACAAAGAAATTACGAGACAGACTTAAGAGACTTGCTGAAAGTGGGAATGCTGAGTATTATGATGACAACTCAAAAAACAAAAACATTGACCAACCAATAGTCCACAAAACAAATTTTGATAGTGCTTCACCTGAAAATCTTGAATCTGAAGATGCTGATGATGAAAAAAAGGAAGTAAAGGATGAAAGTAAAAAAGATACAAGATTTTTGAAAAGAACATTCAGTCTTAGGAAGGAGGAATCAAACAAGAAAGAAAAGCATGATGTAAATGATGTTTTATGCTTTGAAGATTTTATGAAGAATATTGTTGTTTTTGGGAAGAAAAAGGACTATCAGTCAATCATCAAGCTGCTTTCATATTAAATTGGTAAACACTTGAATTGTAAAATACACACTGCTTAGTCTTACTTTTAAAAGAATTTGTTACACAGTTATTCTTATTCTTACAAAACATTTTTATTAGCTTACCTTGTCCTACACAGCGTGTCAAATGTAAAATATGAAAAGTTCTTTTCTGGATTTATTGTCATTAGAACAGGCAAAGCCAAATATTGGTAAGCCAAGAAGGCATAAGTTCTGAAATAAGTGAAGAGGTATATGACCAAAGGGACCTGAAAAATAATAGCCAATCCATCTGAGGTCAACTTTGCAAAAGGGCGTTGGAACCTTAGTGTCTTAATAACTTTCAAATTTATTGATGAACAATTTAAGAAGTGTCGCTTATTAATCATGTCAGTTATGAAGCACTGACTACTGAGTTGATGATTACATTGGTGACTAATGGTCCAAAAGCATAAAGTTAATGTTTTATTGTACCCATCAACAATCAAGACATGTCATTATGGATGGTTCAATGTTTAGTTCTATCTAAGTTATTGTATAATATCTTGAAAACTATATATCTGACAAACCTGCTCAGTATAACCAAATAAAGCAAATGACTTCTTGTAGAAGTTATTGCCCTTAAGTGAAGACTTTTACTTAATTTATCGTTTTATATGAAAGTGCCAATGCAACTCATCACCACAAGAGACCAAATGACATAAAAGTTAACAAGTGTATATCACTGTATGGTCTTTAATAATGAGCAAAACTCATACTGCATAGTCATCAGCTGTAAAACTCCACTCCACGAAATGACAAATGTAAATCAATTCAAATGAGAAAACTAACAGCCTGATTTGTGCACAAAACAATGAACAAAATCAAATATGATAAACAGTAACAAAAAGTAAAATAACAGTTATACCAACATTCAACGAAAATTCAAAACGGAATGTTCCTATTCAAATGGCAAAATCAAAAGCTCAAACATGAAACGAATGGATAACAACTGTCATATTCCTGACTTGGTACAGGCATTTTATTATGTAGAAAATGGTGGTTTTATAGATAGATAAACCTCTCACTTGTATGACAGTCGCATAAAATTCCATTATATTGACAACGATATGTAAACAAAACAAACAAACTAATAGACATGATAGATAAAAATGTAAAAAATATGGGTACAGCAGTCAACATTGTGTCATAATCTTAATCAATACACAAACATACAAATGCGCCAACAAAGAAAAACAAAAAGGCACACAGACAAAGCACATTAGCAAAAACGAAAGACAAGAATACAAAAGTTTACCATAGCACAATAACACAATGACGGGATGCACAAGCACCGAGCCACGCCAAATAGATTATTTTCAAAAATAGACCAAACAGTAAATGTAATAATTTACAAAGACATATAAAAGAATACTATAACACGTTATTAGGATGACAAACAATGTCAGTACTTAGAATCTATACTTCAAGACCATCGTGTATTATTTGTGAAGTTGATACGGAATATTTATCAACAAGGTCTTGGTATCTTCCGATGACCTTTTTAAAGGAAAAGGACAAGACGTTCTTTGACATACCCCTGGTTCATCAACTTTCTGCTCAGACACTGGTGTCTTGAGTAGCAGCTGCAAGCTCTTGAATACCGAACGAGTTGGGAAATTGATATCCCATATGCAGGTGAAGTTGCTATATTGCTACTAAGGTGGGGGAAATTGATAATTTCAAAATTAAAATAGTCTCGTTTGTCATAGATTCTGGTACTGAGATGACCGCTTATGTTAAATTCGAGGTAAAAGTCTAAAAATGAGACAGAGGAAGCCGTGTCTGTTGTTTCTTTAATTTCTAGTTCTGGAGGATTATTAATGGAAACCAATCATAAAAGTTTGGATTGTTAATGGCAAGAACATCATCAATATATCTGAATGTGAAATTAAATGATCTGGCTTCTTTGATCTTCTTGTTTTTATACGACCGCAAAAAAATTTTGCGGTCGTATATTGGTATGACGTTAGCGTCGTCGTCGTCCGAAGACACATTGGTTTTCGCACTCTAACTTTAGTTTAAGTGAATAGATCTCTATGAAATTTTACCATAAGGTTCAATACCTCAAAAGGAAGGTTGGGATTGATTTTGGGGGTTATGGTACCAACAGTTAAGGAATTAGGGGCCAAACATAAGCATTTTTGTAACTTCCAGACATAACTTGTGTGTTAGTGTATGGATCTCTCTAACATTGTACCACAAGGTTCCATATCACAGAGGGAATACTGGGATTGATTTTGGGGGTAATTGCCTCATAATTTTAGGAATAAGGGGCAAAAACAAGCATTTATCTAGTTTCATGATAATAACTTGTGTGTAAGTGTATGGATCTTTCTGAAATTGTACTACAAGGTTCCATATCTTAAAGGGAAAGCTGGAATTGAGTAATTGCCCAAAACGTTTAGGAAAAAGGGGCCAAAAATAAGCATGTTTCTTGTTTCCAGACAATAAATTGTGTTCAAGTGTATGGATCTCTCTGAAATTGTACTGCAAGGTACCATACCACAAAGGGAAGGCTGGGATTGATTTTGGGGGTAATTGCCTCAAAAGTTTAGGAATTAGGGGCAAAAAAGGGGCAAAAAACAAGCATTTTTCTAGTTTCAGGACAATAACTTGTGTGCAAGTGTATAGATCTTTATGAAATTGTACTACAAGGTTCCATATCACAAAGGGAAAGCTGGGTTTGAGTTTGGGGGTAATTGCCCTAAACGTTTAGGAATTTGGGGCCAAAAAGGGGCCTAAAAATAAGCATTTTTCTAGTTTCCAGACAAGAACTTGTGTTCTCTGAAATTGTACTGCAAGGTACCATACCACAAAGGGAAGGCTGGGATTGAGTTTGGGGGTGATGAATCATAAGGGGGTTCAAAAAATTTGGGGGAGGGATTTTTTTTTCTTCAATTTTTCCATTTTAAATTGGTTATTTCTGATTTATGTATAAAAGCAAATAATAATGATATGGTTTGAATAGGTAAATTGCAAAATAGATTTTTAAGTTCTTAGACCACATTCATTCTGTGTCAGAAACCTATGCTGTGTCAAATATCTAATCACAATCCAAATTCAGTGCTGTATCAAGCTTGAATGTTGTGTCCATACTTGCCCCAACTGTTCAGGGTTCGACCTCTGCGGTCGTATCAAGCTGCGCCCAGCGTAGCATTTTATTGACAAGTGTCTGAAGGAACTCCGACTCGTATGAAAATTAGAAGAGGTCGGCAAGGAGAGGCGCATATTTCGTTCCAATAGGAATGCCGACAATTTTTTGAAAAAGTCTACCTCCAAGTTCAACAAATATGTTGTCAATAAGAAACTCCAGCATACTGATCACTTGTTCCTCTGTGTAGCATGTTTTACTTTTTTGTTCACTATAAACAAAAGATGCCGTATGGTATCCCAAAAGTAAAAAAATTATAGTGTATGCTACCTGTTGAAAACCTACAACAAACGACAACTACTTAATTCAGGCTTCTGACTTGGGACAGGCTCATACAGAATGTGGAGGAATCCTCCCCTAACATGCGACAGTACAGCATAAGAACAGACTATAAAGATCGATACAAAGCAGAAAAACATACAACAAAAACACAGACCGGATGTGTCAGTGTATTGATAAATTCCCACAACAAAGGTAAAGATCTGAGAGTACTCGCAGTTACTGACAGCTAGTTCAAAGCCATAACAACTAATAAAAAATCATTAATCCAAGACTAAAATATCAATAAGTACATATCCAACAAACAATAGATTAAGTGTAAAAACGTCATTAAAAGTCGGAGAAAGCATGATCTTGTGCAATGACAAGATGCAGGTATCGACAGATTGTAGAAGAATGGATGTGCATATGTATATAATAATAATATTAAGTTTGACCTTTAATTTACTGGTAACAAAATCAATATTTATCCAATAATAAGAATGTTCAAAGATCTGATAACTGTTGAATTGGTTACCATTTAGAATAAGTTTATTTAAAGGATCTATGAGTTTACCCGGACCGTATCAGAATTTATGGGCTTAAAAAACAACATGTACATCTCCGTAAAAATTAGGAATTGCTATCCCGTTTGAAATACGTTTTCTTCAGGTACAGCCAAACTTGCAAACTAAATCATTGCATCTATGGAATAAACTAGTAAAGGTTGTAAGTAGTTTGTGGTAACAAAACCCTGACTTGTTATACATAGATTACGTTCATTGAAATCCAAAGCGTCTCTACATACACGGGCATGGCGAATGAGTTGTGTAATATAAACACCGTAATGTGGTGCGAAAGGAATATCTTCGTCCCCAAAAAAGAGAGGAAAATTAGCAACCGAGCAGGATAAATCATCCCTTTGAGTTTGGTCATAAACTGTGATTCATTACTGTACAAGAACGAATCTGCTATTAAAAGGGTCCAATTGGTGCCCATAGGAACACCTACAACCTGCCGATAATCTATTGCGGAAACGTATGTTAATGTTAAGGAGAAAAGTAACAACTTTAATCATCTCATCACACCTTCAGAAAATATATTTAGCATATTTACCTTTCTCATTAGAGAAGAAGGCTTTAAATGATTTGCGGCAAATATAATTGTAATCTGATTTATTAAACGACCATTGAATTAAATAGGAAGACTTTTGTTTGATAAGATTGTGTGGGGTGTAGTGTAAAGAGTTGTAAAGTCAAAAATATATTACCATGGCCATAGTGATCATATCCAGTTAAATTCGACGATTCAGTTTCAAATTATAGTATTATTTTCTACACTGACGTATCATTAAATATTAAACTTATGTTGTTTTTTTTTGTATGTATACGAAATAACAAGTGGTTCTGTGTTATCAAAATAGGTAGTCATTAAGTATGATAGATTAATTGATAAAATCAATACCTCTGTTAATATATTTAATTTTCAGAAAAGTTTACAATCTTCAGGTTTATCGATACGCGGAAACAGCCTATGGTAATAAAAATCTGTCATTATATGCATACATTCATAGAGTAGACTGAAATCGGGATTTTGTCACACTCCTTGAAAATATCATGTAATTTACCAATTGGTATTTGACCCAGGTTACATACTAATTGATGCATACTGTTGTTTTTAAATATTGATAGGTGATCGTCAAGTGTATAACATCTATGATGTTTATTTTGTTGATTTCGATTGATACGTTTGCCATGGGACCTACTGTTACGTTTTTTTTTTTATTTGCTATCTTGAAAACTATGTATACCAAATTTTGCACAGCCCCTTTTTACCTGCGTTGCCGAAGGTGGATGCAGGTCTAGTAACCACTCTACTTCGTCTTTCCGGCCGTCTGTCTGTCAAATTAAAGAAAACTTTCGTTAAAATTTTCTCAGTTTCTATGACAGGGAATAAATTAAGGGCAAACGATACAGTTACAGGGGAGGTAATGACAATGCTACATGTAACGTAATTTGTTATTTTTCGCGACGTCAACTGCGACATATCGGGAAAAGATGCATTCTTCGAGGGATTTTAATCATTAGCTTGGAAACGAGTACATGAAACCCTCTTTTTTTAAAATGACAAATGACTTGATACTGTATGAAGATTATTTCTTCCAATTTTATGAAAAATA